CCCAGTACTCAGGAGGCAGAGCCAGGCAGATCTCTGAGTTCGAGGCCAGCCTGGTCTCCAAAGTGAGTTACAGGAAAGGCGCAAAGCTACACAGAGAAACCCTATCTCAAAAAACAAAAAAAACTAAATAAAATATAAACTATAAGGGAAACAATATGACTTGAGGGCTGTAACTGAATTGGAAAGAGTTGTTTTTAGCTGGGTAGTGAGCAGATACATCAGTACAGGAATTCACTAGCTGGTGTGATTTGGCCAGGATCAAAGGTCCTGAACTTGGAGTTTCTGGAAAACTCCAATCTGGAGATCAAATAAAAGTACAAATATAGAAAGTCACACTACTGTTGTGTATTTTGTTTGTGTTCTGACAAAAAACCTTGCCTAAAGATCAGAGGGTGGAGCTAGCCACTAGTAACCATAGAGGCCACACAGTGGTGGCACACACCTTTAATCCCAGCACTTAGGAAGGAAGGAAGCAGGAAGATCAGGAGTTCAAGGCCACCCTGGGCTCCACAAGATTAAACCAGTCTAAAAGAGAAACATAGACCCCAGCATTTGTGAGGCTCACACCTTTAATCTCAGCACCAGGCAGGGTCATGCCTTTGATCCCAGCACTAGGGAAGTGGAGACCGGATCTCAGTGCCCATTCAGTCTGAGGATTCTTAGAGGTAAGAACTCTCTGGTGGCTGCTGCTCTGCTTCTTTGATCTTTCAACTTTCACCCTGGGTTCTTATTGTTAAGACTAATTAGGATCGCCCTTCACACTACAAACATAAAAAAATGTTATGTAAAACTTGGCAGTGTATTGGGTCACAGAATCTAAATGCCTAAGGAAATGATTGGAAGACCCAGAAGGGCATCTAGTGCAGCCAATAAAATATCCATTTTGCTGAGACTGCACACAGACCTTTACAAGGGAACTTGTCCTCTCTCACCTTTAATTACACCCATTTTTGACACACAGGCTTTATCTGACTGCAATCTTTTAACTCTGCACATTTTAATTTCTTCCAGAGTATAAAAAAAAATTCTAAGTTCTGGGAATAGAAAATTTAAAAGTGACCTATATTATCATAACCTCAAAGTTAGGGAACCTTGGCTTTACATCAAGGTTAGGTACTTAGAATCATCTGTGTAGCTTTTCTTAACATGAATTTGTATAGTCACAACACAAGTATGTATAACAAAAATTTAGTTTTGAAGATTAGTGTATGTTAAGTCAAGGCATTAAGAGTCTTAATAATTATAAATCCCAGCTGCCATCTCATTTCAGGAAAGCACTTTGTTTTTTTTCAGTCCTGAGGATCAAAACCAAGGTCTTACACATGCTAGACAAGTACTCCATCAATGAGCTATATTTCCAGCTCATGTAAGTATCCTTTTGGTCTCTTAGTGGATCAAGTTCAGAGCACTAGCTTAACCCCTCAGACTTGCTCTTCTAACACTGAGCTATCTGATCTCAGCAGAACCATATGGTGCTCTACTGTTACAGTCAGTGAGAGCATGAGGTTTTTTTTTTTGTTGTTGTTGTTTGTTTTTCCTGAGACAGGGTTTCCTGTGCAATCCTGGCTGTCCTGGAACTCACTCTGTAGACAAGGGTGGTCTTGAACTCAAGAGATCCACCTGCCTCTGCCTCTGGGTGCTGGAATTTAATGAATGTGCCACCACATGGCCTAAGCATTCTTGATTTCTATTTTTGCATTCTTGTATCTCTATGAATAGTGTGAAACCAGGAAACAAAGTTACATATACTTTAACAAAGACTGATAAGAAAATTAAAAAGTTGAGGAAATAGTAAGCTTACTTCATGTGAAATTGACCTTTAATCTAGAAGACCTTATGTGATTAATCTTATATAAACGAGGCAAGTGTCTAGACTTTTGCATAGGAGTTGCATAGTACTTACCACCAAGCTGACAATTAGCAACAGATGCTCTTGAATGCATGCTCACAAACATCAGAACATAGTAGACAGTCTCAAAAGTGAGACTGCCCAAATTTCAGTCAGATCCCTAAGGCATGCCACAATGTCTATCACCTAAAGCTTCCACGTTTATACCTTCCTTAGGATCATCCTTAAGGCAAGAGAGAACTGCCAGGTACCATGTTCCTACACAGGCAGGTACACAACAAAGACCAATCTAAATACAAGGCAATATTACAGAAACTACTTGCTGCATACTTTTATAAATCATATTCCCAGGGATCAAGGCTCAATTTAAAAAATTTTTTGGTTTTTTTTTTTTTTTTTGGTAGTAATAAAAATTTTATCTAGGGTTGGGGATTTAGCTCAGTGGTAGAACGCTTGCCTAGCAAGCACAAGGCCCTGGGTTCGATCCTTAACTCCAAAAAAAAAAAAATTTATCTTAGCCAGTTTCTTCATTCTAAGTCCTCACATCCTAATAACCTTTGAAATCCTCAAAAACCAAATTAAAATCATAGGAATCACATTGTGCCTCCTCCCAAAAAAATTGTTTTGTTTCAGAACTAGAATTTTTCCACTACTTTTTCTAAATGCCATCCAGAATGTGAGAATGAAACCCAGTGAAATTTGCTAAGCATAGGGAGAATGATATCAGAGACAACCTGGGCATGTCTTCTTACTGGGGAATGTTAGTAGCACCTTACCCAAAGAAATATTATAGGAATTTAGGGAGCGGAGCTGTTTACTGACAGTTCTCAATCTTAGTAAATCAAAGTTGCTGGAATTTGGTGTCTCCATCAGTCCCTAACCACCTGGCCGTTTAGATAAGGGAATACTCAGAACAGACATGTCAGGGGTCCTAGAACTTTGCAATGTCAAGGTTTGGGAGGTACAGACAATAAGGAAAAAGGCTATTTTCTACTTCCTGTCACTTGAAAGAAGCAGCTTGTTAAAGACTTGGTTTTATTTTTCTTTCTTTTTCTTTTCTTTTTTTTTTTTTAAAAGACTTTGGTGATGGGAAAGCTTCTGGAATGTTCACAGCTGAGTTGGTGAATGCTAGGTCAGGTGATTACTTAACTAGTTATTGCTTCATTCAGAATACTAGACAGACATGAAGTTAAAAGCTCCAGAATACAGCCAGGACAACTTGCTTATTGCTCAATTAGTTCATAATTTTAAAAAAGGAGTACTGAGCCGGGCGGTGGTGGCGCACGCCTTTAATCCCAGCACTCGGGAGGCAGAGGCAGGCGGATCTCTGTGAGTTCGAGGCCAGCCTGGGCTACCAAGTGAGTCCCAGGAAAGGCGCAAAGCTACACAGAGAAACCCTGTCTCGAAAAACCAAAAAAAAAAAAAAAAAAAAAAAAGGAGTACTGAACAAAAACTTTTCCCCAAATAAGCTCATTACATATATATTCATCAGGACCCATTCCTATAAAAGCCACAATCCATCTGCTCCCACGCCACCCACAGTGCATGATTTCATCTGATCTCAGAAGCTTAGCTGGATTGGCACCAGTGAATATATGAATAGGAAGAAAAAGAGCCCCGTTCCATTTCAAAAAACATGACTGCTTAAAAACAGTTAAAACAAAGTTCTTGGCTTTTAGATGTTTAAGTTTTATTTTCTTTAAATTAGCCTCTGAAATGCTTGTGTCACTTTCCCTTCCAGAAAAGTAACTTGAAAGGGTATAGGCTTTGTTTTACCAAAGGGAGAATAAAGCAGAACAGAGGTGCCTACTATTGGGAGCAGTAGGCTATGACCAACAGCAGAGAAATACCCTTTCTTGCTACTCAACAAGATGGGTTCTGTGGTGTCGCATGAGGTGTGAGTTAGAAATGAAAGCCGCACCACACTTTGCACATTCATAGGGCTTCTCCCCCGTGTGGGTTCGCTGGTGGACAGTGAGGCTCGACCTCTGTCTGAAGGCCTTACCACATTCGTTACACGTATAAGGTTTTTCCCCATTATGGATTCTTTGATGAATGAGTAGGTATGAGCTACAAGTGAAGGCCTTCCCACACTCATTACACACATAAGGGAGATCTCCACTGTGAATTCTCTGGTGGACAATAAGGCAAGAGAGTTGACTGAAGGCTTTTCCACATTCACTGCAGTCATAAGGTTTCTCTGCAGTGTGAATTCTCTGATGCACAATAAGGTGAGAAAAACAACTAAAGGCTTTCCCACAGTCTTTACACTCATATGGCTTCTCACCAGTATGGCTTCGCTGATGCACAATAAGATTTGCACTCTGGGTAAAGGCTTTGCCACAATCATTACAGGCGAAAGGCTTCTCCCCAGTGTGGATCCTCTGATGGACAATGAGGTTAGAGCTTCTAGTAAATGTTTTTCCACATTCATTGCATTCATAGCATTTTTCAGTTATATGGACTTTCTGGTGCCGAGCAAGTTGGGAACTATAACTGAAGGCTTTCTCACATTCACCACACTTAAAGGTTTTTTCTAAGGAGTGAATTTTCTGATGTACAGTCAGATTTGAACTCTGAGTGAAGGCCTTCCCACATTTTGCACAAACATAGGGTTTTTGTCCAGTGTGGATCCTCTGATGCACAACAAGGTTTGCACTCTGAATGAAGGCCTTCCCACACTCATGACACTCAAAGGGTTTCTCCCCAGTGTGGATTCGTTGATGCACAACAAGGTTTGCACTCTGACTAAAGCCTTTCCCACACTCACTACATGTAAAAGGCTTTTGCCCAGGCTGTATTTTCTGATTTTTAGCTGGACCAGAACTAAGGCTATATTTCCTCTTAGACTTCCTAGATTTCTGGTCTTCGTCTTCTCTGAAGCTTTCAGACAATGGACAGTCTTTCATGGTTACTTTTCTTATATCTCTTTTTTCCCTCTTTATTTTCTGCCTTTTTAACACATTTCCCTTTTCATAAGATTCTCCTAGCTCAGGTCCTTGAAGGTCACTTTTCTGGATTCTTCCTAAAATCATGGGGTGCTCCTCTGCTTCATCACATATCTCTGTTTTAGGAACCAGTAACTGTAGGTTCTTGGTTTCAGTACCTGTATTAAGAAACAGAAAATAAAAATGTTAGTTTCCCCTGGCCTAGAAAAAGAACAGGCTCATCAAGGTCAGAATAAATAACTCTTATATTTCCAAACAGACCTCATCAGAGGGGAATACCACACTATTCTAGGTTCTTCTGCTATGTCTGTGCCCTGCCACACATTTCCTTTCATCAGATTCTACATTCCAATATGAGTGTCACCTATAAAGCCATGTGCTGAATGACTGGCCCCTAGCTAGGGGTGCTTTGGGGGAAAGTTATGGAAACTTGAGGTCCTGGTCCCTGTTCATCATGAAGTAAGCAATCTCATTCTCCACATAATCCTGCTATCATGTTCTGCACAAACTACAGTGAACTGAAACCTGTTATCTGAAGCTAAAAGAAACTTTTCTCTCCTTTTATCCGTCAACAACAACAAACACTTAGTTCAGAGTAACAGGCCCAAGCTCTAGACAACACTCCTGGTAACCTGAAGACAAGTCTCACAACTCTGACTAGTTATGAAGGATAATAGCCCTGCCTCAACTTAACCTTTTTCTCTTGAGCTGACCAGTTCATTATGGAAAATCCCTATCCATGAAAGACCTTCCAACTTAGGTTTGTTGTGTGTGTGTGTGTGTGTGTGTGTGAGGATACTCAATAGCAAAGGAAGGATAAAATCTGGGCATGGGGACATAAACCTGTCATCCCAGCACTTGGATAGCAGAGGAAGGAAAACTGCTGTGAGTCTGAGGATAGCCTGGTCTACAGCAAGTTCCAGGACAGTTGGGGTTAAACAGAGAGACTGCTTAACTCAAAAAACAAAAAACAAAAACAAAAAAACAACCCACTAAGGCTGGAGAGATGGCACAGCAGTAAAGAACACTGCTCTTCCAAAGTACTTGGGACTTAAAACAATGCCAAGTAAACATTCCATCACCAAACTACATCCAGAGACCCATTAAGTTTTTATATCAATATCTTTCTTCCTTTCACTCTTTTTTCTTAGTGCAGAGGACTGAATGAAATTTGTTATATATGCTCTCTACATTTTGAACTATAAACCTAACAATCCATTTCACTTTTTTCAAAAGAGATTTGGAATCTGTATGATGGCTTAGCTGGTACAACTCCATGCTACCCAACCCTGGTACCCATGTGAAAGTGGAAGGGCAGAACTGACTCCACAAAATTGTCCTCTAACCTCTATATGTGCATTGTGGTGTGGATGCACACACACATATACACAGTAAATAAATAAATAAAATTTAATCAGAAAAAGATCTCAGGGGGGTATAACAGTATTCACCTGTGATCCTAACATCTAGGAGGTAGAGGCATGAAGTTCCTAAGTTCAAGGCCAGTCTAGACTACATGAGACACTGGCTCAAAAGTCCAAAAAACAAACAAACAAAAATTTGAAATCTATGTTGTTGGCCCTCTGAGCTGGTTTTTGTATTCTTGAGATACGAAGCATATAATACCACCTCCCCAGCTACCCACTGAGACATTTCTGACCTATCTAAACATATTCCTAACCCTCATTTACAGGTCACTCCTGCACAAGCAGGATTCTTCACAGCCAATCAAGACTGGTTTCATGGGCCAAGTATAGTGGCACAAACCTTTAATCCCAGCACTTTGGAAGGCAGAGGCAGGTGGATCTCTATGAGTTCAAGGCCAGCCTGGTCTACATAATGAGTTTCAGGACAGTCAGGGCTATGCAGAGACCCCTTGTCTCAAAACAAATCAAATCAACAAACCAAACCAAACCAAACCAAATGAGCAAAAACAATAATAATAAATGATTTAATTAAGTGAGGATAACATATTACTGTTTTCAGTCTGTGATGTCTCTTACAATCAGTAAAGCTGAACACTTCCATCTGCTTTTTGGATTCTTTTTTTTAAATTTTTATATATTTGAATTACCCCACCCCATCCCCTTTTAAAAAACATTTGTTTGTATGTATGTGCACACACAGCACAGTGTGCATGTGGAGATCGGAGGACAACTTGGAAGCTGGTTCTCTCCTTCTATCATGTTTTGATCCCTTGGGAGTGAACTCAGGTCAACAAGCCTGGCAACAACTGCCTTTACCACTAAGCTATCTGATAGCCCTGAATTAATTTTTTTAAATCTTTAAATCATTTTTCATACTAATGATCTGTTATAACTCCTCACATGTAGAAGGCATTTTTTGTTTGTTTTGAGACAGGGTCTTACTATGTAACCCTGGCTGGTCTAGACCAGCTATGGTAGACTAGGCTGGCCTCAAACTAAGAGAAACCCAACCACCTCTGCCTCCAGAGTACTGGGATTAAAGGCCATGATACCAAGCTAAAGGTACCTTTTAAGAATTTTTAAATTACATTTATTGGGGGATGGAGGTAGCATGCCAAAATGCACGTGTAGAGGTCAGAGGTCAATTTTTGGGAGTCAAAATAGTGCTTTTCTTTTCCATTATGTGGGTCACTGGGATGGAACTTAGATCATCAGTCATCTTTACCTGTTGAGCTATATCACCAGCCCTAAAGGTATTTTTTTTTTAATGATTTTATTTTGTGTGCATTGGTGTTTGGCCTGCACGTATTTCTGCATAAATGTCTGATCCACTGAAATTGGACATACAGACAGTTTCACACAGACAGACAGCATGTGGGTGCTGGGAATTGAACCCCAGTCCTCTGGAAGTGAAGCCAGTGTTACTAACTGCTGAACCATCTCTCCAGCCCAAGGTGTTTTCTTTCTTTTTTTTAAAGTCTTTCAAAAAAAAAAAAAAAAAAAGACACTTAAGACTGAGGATATTAACTCAATTGGTAAAGTGCTTGCCTAGCATGTACGAAGCCTTGATTCTAATCCCCAGCACACATACACTAGGCATGGTGTCACATGCTTGTAATCCTAGCACTTGGAAGATGAAAGCAGGATTAGAAATTCAAAATTCAAAATTCAAGGTTAATCTTGACTATATAGTGAGTTTAGGGCCAGGCTGGGATATGAGACCATCTCAAAAAAGAAAACAAACAAAAAAAGCAGAGCATACTATACTTCACTTGCAACTTATAAATAACCACAAAACACATGAAGACATGGGTTTACACATGTGCAGAGATATGAAAAGTGCAAGGAATGAGCATGATTAAAAAGTGAAATTGAGAATTTACCTGTTTGGTCTTCAGACTGTATAAAAAAAAGCTACTCACTGTGGCAACCTTATGGGCAGCTCTTTTCATACTATGTGATGTAAGAAGGAAAACCACTCACCCACACATTTTAATGTGACTGAGATCAGGGAGCTGAACTTTACCTAGCAGGGCTGGGTTCCCATGATGCTCCAGGATTTCACTCTTGGCCAGAGTCCCTGGTAATGAGTAGCTCCCAAGGGGTGCAGCAGCCTCCTGTGTTGCTTTTAGGACCACTGCCATGTCCCAGAACATTTTCTGACCCTAGAAACAAGTGGGCATAGTTTATGAGGGGACTGAAGACTGAAACACTGTGATTACAGCGTTGCAGATGAGAACACATTCCTGGAGGTCACAAAAACTAGGTAGGAGTCTTCCCCAACTCCCCAGGAGACCTGAGTGGAGAAGCTAAGCTATCACTTTGATGATTTTTTTTTCTTTTAAGTTTTTTGAGACAGGGTTTCTCTCTGTAGCCTTGGCTACCCTGGAACTCACTCTGCAGACCAGGCTGGCCTTGAACTCAGAGAACTGCCTGCTTCTGCTTCCCGAGTGCTGGGATCAAAGGCATTCAACAACACCTCTAGCCTACCACTTCGATTTTTAACTCACTGAATTATACAGCATACATCCTAATCTGTTAGTGCACCCTAGCTTAAACAAGTAGGGATCATGGCTTTAAGAAGCTCAGGTGATAGAATGCTTGCCTTACACCACAGAAACTAGGTGTGTTGCCACAGACCTGTAACCGTAGCTTGTGAGAAATCACTGCAGGATGATCAGAGTTTTAAGGTCATCATCTTTGATTAACAGGGAGTTTGAGGGCTGCACTTGGACAGATTTTTCAGCAGAATTTTCTGGGCCCCAAAGATCAAAACAACTAAGGTTCTGATCATACACTCATAGAGAGCTCTGGGAAAACTTTTGAATGAACCTGGACTGAGTTTGAAACCACTAAAGGCAAGCCAAAAGTATGGTGATCAATTCCCTTAATCCCAGCACATGGGTAGTGAAGGCAGGAGGCTCAGGAATTCAGTCAGGCTGAGCTATTTGTTACAGATGAACAGTATCTGTAGCAACATCCCATGTAGCAACATCCCAGAACTCCTAAACCCATGTTACACTTTAAGGAGACCCCAGGTGGCAGACTTTAACCATGGCAAAGCACTGGAAAGAACTGTTAAACTCTGAATGAAACACTTCACTTGAAGTGTTTGTAAAAACAAAAACCTAGGTCTTATTCCTCAGAATCTGGTCTGATTAGAACAGACTATAATATGGGAAACAAGATATTGTAAAGCTCCCCAAGTTCTATGCAGCAATGGTTGGGAGTCAGAGACTTACAGAACAGTACTATAACACATCAATTGAAGAGAACATCTCACTATGTTCCAAAGGAATAAAGGTAAGAGCCCGCATCTAGGAAAAAAAAAATCTAGATTTGGCACTTGAGTGCCTCTGAAACTATTTGAGATCTGCATTTCTCTTCCTTTCCCCAGATCATCATTTACCTTTTCCTCCTCTTCTGATACATCAATGCTTAAATAAGGACCTTCCCCGGGGGCCCAGACCTTGACATTCTCAGAGCACACTTGTTGACCGGATGCCTGACTTATACTTTCATCCTCATCCTCTTCCTTTTTCACCTTCACTGGGCTCCAAGAGGCTCGGCCCATAGTCTTTTTCAATTCTGCAGTCATCTTCTCTGTTCAATGGGGAGTCTTTGAATAGCTGAGGAATACCCAACATTGGCCACACCCTATCTAATCTTCAAGTCTCCAAGGCTTCTGAGTTTCTTCCCAGTGCCAAGATGAGTACTGTTCCTGCAAAACCAGAAAACACAGTTAACACCAAATATAGCTTTGTATGGATAACACTCAGCCCATTAGTTGATGTTACCAGCTCCTGGCTAGTGGCCACAGTAGAACAGTAATGGTCTGTTCTCCTTCAAATGATAGGGATAGGTTGTAAACACATATGATTACAAAAGAGATATATAAACCATTTTTTATTTGATTAAAAATTAACAATTTGCCTGGTATGGACCATGGTACACACCTTTAATCCCAGCACATGGAAAGCAGAGGCCTCATCTACATAGGCCATCCAGGGCTGCATAGTGAGATGCTATCTAAAAAAAAAGAAAAAGAAAAGAAAGGAGGAAGAACTAATATATTAACTATAAAAACTTTAAGAATATGGAAAAATATTAGGGAAAATTCCAATCCAGTGATAATTATTTTACTTATAATTTGTGTCCCCGACCCCCCACCCTACCCACCACTTCCCACCCCCGCATGGGGACATGTATTTTTAGAGTAAGACTGGTTTTTGTTTTGTTTTTTCTTTCAGAGCTGAGGACCAAACCCAAGGCTCTGCCACTAAGCTAAATCCCCAACCCCTAGACTGATTTTTATTATTACTATTATCAACATTATTATTATTTTGGTTTTCTGAGACAGGGTTTCTCTGTGTCATTTTGGAGCCTCTCCTGGAACTCACTCTGTAGACCAGTCTGACCTCGAACTCAGAGATCCACCTGCCTCTGCCTCCTGAGTGCTGGTATTGAAGGCATGCGCCAGCCCCCACCCCTGGCTGGACTGATTTTTTGAAACAAGGGACATTACAAAGATTTATTACTAAAAGAGGAAAGAATGATTATCTCAAAGGGCATAATTACTAGTATTTTTGAGGGTTTTTTGTTTGTTTGATTTTTGTATTCCTCACATCTTCCAAAATGTTTTAAGACCAAATATTGGTCTTAAAACAAAATTATCCATGTTAACATTGTTTATCCTTATTTTTAATTGTTGCACAATAACCTGTAATTTTCAGTCTTTCTGATGGTTATATAAACATAAAATTAAATCGGTCTTAAACATATACTTATATCAACACACATACAGAGTGACCAGACTGGGTATAGCCTAGTCCCCTACATATGCTCTTTCGTACTGCACTTGCACATCGTTCACCACGCTGTACTGGTGGTTTTTGCTGTTGTTGCAAGTGGTGGGAATCATGCATCCTAGACAAATGCTCTTACCTCTGAGGTACACCTCAGCCACAACCATTTCTTGACTCAGTTTCACAGCAGCCTTAATAGTCTTTCAATATATAGAACAGATAAGACATATGCCTCATTCTGACAGAGTCCTCTAAATTTACTTAACCTACTGTTTACAACCTTTCTTTAATAATCATGGGCTTTACTGCTTAGTTTGGTAATAGCTGTTTCCTGTACAAATCATTCTTTTGTCCTGTTGCATTATTCCTTTAGAGTGAACTGTGAGGTCACTAACCTATTGTCAAATTGCTTTCTAAAACACCACATAAAGTCAGGTACACAACTACTAATTAACAGGACCTTTATATCTCAGATAAGCTGACAGAAGGGTGTGTGTGTGTGTCTGTCTGTGTCTGTGTCTGTGTAAAATAATCTACTTTGTTTTAGTTGGATATAAGGAGATTGATTTTGTTTGCTTGGTCCTATTCCTCTTTGTTTCTGTTACTAAAAACTGGTGCTAATTTTTACTAAATACCCTTTTGTACCTTATGGAGTAATCATACTCATTTTTCCAACGTTAACTTTATTTCACACACTGAATTTTCAAGTAATGCCACGCTTTTCACCACAGCGCCAATCATAATTCTCCCCGTGATGGGGCTAAGTTTCCCTAGCAGAAAAGCCTTTGAGACTTCGTTCCCCTATGTGCACATGCTAAGTTGTCTATTTTGAGTCTTCTGGACAGACTCCCATGGGCCTCGCGTCCCAGCAGGCCCGGAGCCATCTGGACAGGCCTCCCTCCTCCCTCTCGGCGGCAGTCCACCCCCACCCCCGCGCCTGCCCCCCTCCCCCGGGGGGGGGGGCGCCCCGAGCTACCTCCCGAGCCCGCGAGGCGATGGGTCGGTGCAGAGCGATCCTGCCCCTCTCCCCGCCCGCCGCGACCCGCTCACCACGGTAGCCCAGCACGCCAGCGCCAGTTTCTCGGACTGAGACTATAGAGCCTCTCTGCAGTAAGCGGGGAGAGAACAATGACCGGACAGGAAGTGCCTCGGGAAGGGCTTCCGGCTCCCCAGACGACAGGCCGATCTCTCTAGGAATCTAGGAGGTCCTCCTCCTTGGTGCATTTCCGAATAGTGGTGAGATTGAGGAGAGCTGGGATTAGCGGGCAGGGCAGGGTTATTCTTGTAAGGCACGCACCTACACAGAGCTGCCAAATAGAAAATCCTGGGAGATTGTAGAAAACATTTTAATTTTCAAATTAGCGAACGGTATATAAAAATTGAAGGAATGAAGACCCTTATCATTCATCTGGACAGTATTTACCTTAATTCTCAGACTAATTAAGGTCAATTTTGGAAATTATAAACACAAAAACGCTTTATTTCAAGTATTCAATATGTATCCCTTAAGAACATTCTCCAAATAACACCATCACTGCCAAAAAGAAAAATTACAATTATTCAAATTCAGATTTATTCAACTGTCTTAAAATATTTCAAAATTGTTAGGAGTAGTGGTGCACACCATTAATCTCAGCACCTGGGAGGCAGAATCTGATGCGCTGAAGGTTGGCCTGGTCTACATAGTGAGTTCCAGGTTAGCTAGGGCTACACAGAAAGACCTGGTCTCAAAAATAAAAATCAGGGGCTGGAGAAATGGCTCAGAGGTTAAGAGCACTGGCTGTTCTTCCAGAGGTCCTGAGTTCAATTCCCAGCAACCACATGGTGGCTCACAACCATCTGTAATGAGATCAGATGCCTTCTTCTGACCTGCAAGTGTATATGCAGACAGAACACTGTATACATAATAAATAAATTAATTAAAATAAAATAAAATAAAAATCAAATCTAACAAAAAACCAAAACCAAGAAAATCCACAAAATTTCAAAATTGCTCTCCACCCCCAAATTAGCGTCACAGCACTACAGTTATGGCTTTTTGCCTTTCCTGGAAATCACTCTGTAGCCCAAGCTGGCCTCGAACTCACAGGGATCTGCCTGCCTCTGCCTCCCAAGAGCTGGAATTAAAGGCTTGTGCCACCACCACCCAGCTCAGTTATGGCTTTTTAATTTTGTGTGTTTGAAATGATAAACGCACAAGTTGTCAAGACAGCACCCTTCATTCAGATCCCCTCAATGGGTAAATCTTAAGCAATCTTACAATATCAAGCCAAAGATTAGTGGCTCACATCTATGATCCCAGCTCTGGAGAGGCTGTGGCTGGAGGGTCACTATGACATTGAGACCATCTATTACATGGTTAAGTATTCCATAATACATGTATACCAGATTAAATGGGTGCTGGGAATTGAGCTTGGATCTCTGAAAAAGCAGTATAGAATCTGAACTACTGAGCCTGCTCTCTAGCACCTATTTTTAATCTTTTGAAACAGTTTTTATATTTATATGTAAGAATGTCTGTATATGTGTGCCACATGTATGCAGGTGCCCTAACAGACATCAAGAGGGTTTCTGGAGCTAGTGTTACAGGTAGTTGAGACCAGAAATGTGGCTGTTGGGAACCAAACTCAGGTCCTTTGCAAGAGCAGCAAGGGCACATAACCACTGGACCATTTCTCCAGCCCCACGCTTTATTTAATGATTACTTTTTATTTTTTATGTGCATTGGTTGTTTTGCCTGCGTGTATGTCTGTGTGAGTATGTGGAAGTTAGACAGTTGTGAACTACCATGTGGGTGCTGGGAATTGAACCAGAGTCCTCTGGAAGAGCAGCCAGTGCTCTTAACCTCTGAGCCATCTCCTCAGCAATGCCCACCCACCCCCAGCTTTATTTTTAAAGTCTATTCTTTAGAATTCTACATTCAAATTCCTCTTACACAAATGAGTATCTTTGTAGTAATTCTGACACAAATTTACATCATGCCATGTACTCTGACCTCATACCTCTTTCATCAACTTTGTTGACAAGTGAATTATTTCACAAAGTATTTTTATGAAGTTCCTTTCACTTACCCCTCATGAAAACGTGAATGAAACAAGCATTATGAAAGAAACTCTAGGGGCTGATGTAATAACATCACATAGTACGGGAAGAACCAGAATCCAAACCCATGTCTTCCTTTCTAAATTCAGTGCTCTTCCTAGGTTTTTCTCAGGCAGCAGACTCTTCCCACTCAATTCCATATCTCACAACTCTGGATCACACTGTTAATATAGATTTTCTGTAGTATCTATGCTATATTTAAAAATATATGATGCAAATGTTAGGAACAATGCCCAGTTTTTAAATTAAAAAAATTGCTATTATTTACAACTTCACCATTACCTTTTTATGAGACAAACTTGATTTCTTCAGAGCCTTAAAATGCTTCAAAGCCTCTTTCCAAGGTCAAAAAAGACTATCTCTTAATTAGAATTTAGATTGTTTTTCTAGATGTGGAAGTCTAAATAAAGTCTCTTCAACTTGTCCATGAGAGTGGTCATGAGTTGTTTTTTGTTTGTTTGTTTGTTTGTTTCCCATTAAGAGCTAGGTGTGTCCAACAGTGTCTTATGGGTTTTCATTGCTGTGAAGAGACACTATGACCACAGCAACTCTTACAAACAAAACATTTAATTGAGGTGGTAGCTTACAGTTTCAGAAGTTCAGTCCATTATCATCATGACAGGAAGCATGGCAGTGTGCAGGCAGACATGGTAATGGCTACATCTTGACCAGAAGGTAGCAGGAAGTCAACTGACTGTCACACTAAGGGAAGCCTGAGAAAAAGAGAACTCAAAGCCTGCCCCAACAGTGATACACTTCCTCAAACAAGGCCACACCTCCTAATAGTGCTACTCCTTTTGGGGGCTATTTTCTTACAAGCTGACACAGTTATTTCCGTATGATTGCATTTCATTTTACATATGACTGTATTTTTCTTTTTTACTGTTTTGGAGTTCAAACCCAGTATCTTATGCATGCTGGTAAGCACCCTTATACTGAATCTCTCTCTCTGGGACTCATATTTGCAACAAAAATAATTCTTCCACAGTATGAATTTTTTTGTTATAGGTGAAGTCTTGAAGTCTGCAAGAATTCCTTTGTGGACTCCACACATTCACAGTCTTTTTCATGTGTCAGCTTTCTGATGTACAGTAAGGTTTTTTTTCCTTTGCCTAAAAACTTTGCTACAATCATTACACCCATAGGGTTTCTCCCCTGTGTAGATTCTAGCATTTCTCATACTCATAAGGTTTTTCCCCGGTATACATTCTCTGATGTACCACAAAGTTTTTATTCTGACTAAAATCTTTCCCACACTCCCCACATTTATAAGGTTTCTCTCCACTGTGGATTCTTTGATGTACCATAAGTTTTTTTTTTTTAATTAGAGCTAAGGACCTTTCTGCATATATGACATTCATAAGTTTTTTTCCCCACTGTGAATTCTTTGATGTTCAATAAGGTTTCTGTTGTAGGTAAAGCCTTTCCCACACTCATTACACTCAGAGGGCTCCTCAGCAGTGTGGATTCTCTGTTAGGCTATCAGGTTTGAGTGGTAACTGAAGACTTTTCCACAGTCATTGCACTTGTAGAATTTTTCCCTTGTGTGGATCCTTTGATGCTCAATGAGGCTTTTTTTCAGAATGAAGCACTTTCCACATTCATTACATTCATAGGGCTTTTCACCACTGTGGATTCTCTTATGTTCAATGAGGTTCCTGTTTGAACTAAAAGCTCTCCCACACTCACTACATTCAAAAGGCTTTTCTCCAATGTGGATTCTGTGATGTACAAGCAAGCCTTCCCAAAGTCCTCGAATTTGTAAGCTTTCTTCTGGGTAGGGAGTTTCTGATGGACCATGAAACTTTTGCTCATAATAAAGGTTTTCCCACACTCTACACATTCATATGGCTTCTCCCCATTATAGAGTCTCTCATGGTCAAGAAGGTGTCTGTTGGATCCAAATACTTTACCACAGTCTTTGCATTCATAGAGATTCTCTCCAATATGGAAACTTTGATGCTAAGTGAGGCTTTTCTTCAGAATAAAAACTTTCCCACACTGATTATATTCATAGGGCTTTTCTCCATTGTGGAGTCTCTGATGGTCAAACAGGGAAGCACCCTGAGTAAAGGTGTACCACAACAATTGCATTTGAAAGGTTTCTCTCTGCTGTGCATCCTTTTATGGTCAATGAGATTTGACTCAGAACTGAAAATCTTCCCACACTTCCTACAACCAAAGTTTTCTTCTCTGTGTGGACTCAGCAGAGAAGGCTTTTGCTTCTAATGAAAATTTTTCCACATTCCTTACACTTTTAAGGGTTCTCTGCACTGTAAAGTCGCTGATGGTCAACAAGGTAGGTGGCTTAAGCAAATGTTTTTCCACATTCATCATATTTATAGGGATTTTTTCCCCCCAGAGTGGATTCTCTGGTGCAGAATAAGGCTCTTGAGAATGGAAGCTTTTTGACACTTGTTGCATTTATAAGGTTCTTTCCCTTTGTGGGGCCTCTGGTGGTCAATAAGGTAAGCATTCTTAGAAAACCTTCCCACATTCATCACATTTATGTGATCTCTCCCCTGAATGGAGTCAGAGATGTATAAAAAGGCCTGAGTGTCTGTAGAAGCCCTTTCCACACTCCTTACATTTATTTGGTTTCTCTCTGGTGTGAATTCTCTGGGGGTTTAGAAGATAAGCACTTTGAGAAAATGCTTTCCCACATTCATTGCATTTGAAAGGTTTCCCCCCAGAATGGTTCCGTAAGTGCATTAGAAGGCTTGAGCGCCAAATAAAGCCTTTTCATTTATGAAGTTTCTCACCAGTGTGGATTCTTTGATGGTTCATAAGATGGGAGATTTTACTAAAATGTTTATAACATATATTACATTTATAAAGCTTTTCTTCAGTACCTACTAAACATCCACAAGTAGCTCAATCCAAGGTCAAGTTTTCTTCAAATTCCCTCCACTCATTTTTCTTGTGGGGTCTTTTTATTCTTCTCATTCACAATTACAAAGGGAACATTCCTTCACTATATCTGCTTTTTCCTTGGTTTCATTTTCTAACTGACTTGTTAAAACTTGCCATTTACACTCTTTCAAAATCAAAGACATGGGAAATATGTTCTTGAAGTGTAGATGAAATTCTAAACAGTCTTATACTCTGGTTTCTCTTCAGATCATATAAATCTTTTGCCTTTTATTAAACAGTCTTAGTAAATATCGAGGACTATGGGGGTCCAGCCCCTCGATAGTCCCCGCCCAGGGTCCAGGAAGAATCTACAACCAGCTGATAATTAATCTTTGATGAAAAGAAATGAATCTATGTACACGAAACTCCTTAGTCCATATACTTTACTATTCTGTGACAGTTATAAGCTTATATTCTGCTCTCATATTTAGGTCATCTTTACCTGATTTC